ATTAGTGTACACATTTTATTGCACATTTTGAATTGAAGATAATTCAGACCTCCGTTATTCTTTTTTGAGAATATTTTGGCTGCCCCCTTGCCATTTGGAACCCCTTGCCATTCCATGTAAATTTGAAAATTGACTTTTCTGTTTCTACAAAGAGATTGTTGAAATTTGTATAATTGCTTTGGGTAATATAAAGAACTCTGGAGGAATAGTGTTATATATTGTGCTGTTAACCAAAAGGCTTGACTCTACCAAACTATACATGCTTTAAATGAGCTTATAAACCTTTATCCAGTGATTTAGCTGAATTTCAAGAATATTTGGTTTGGTTTTAGGTAGTATTGACCTCTTAAAATTAAGTCTTCTCTCCTATAAACAAGGGAGCTTTAGTGGCCTAATTGATTGGGAGTTGAACTTCAATCCCAAAGGCAGGTGATTAAAATCCACTAGCTGCTCCCCCAAAGCTGGCAGTTCAAATCCACCTGTTAGTCCGTAGGAAAAAGATGGGCAGTCTCCTCCAGTGCAGTTTATAGTCTCTGCAAATCTGCTGGATTTGCCAAGTTGTTTCTCATTCAACAACGAAGCACAACAATAACAGTAGCTTTCTTGTGAAATCTTTGGGATTTTCTAAGTAGGATTTATTTTGTCATCTATAAAAAGAGATAATAGTTCTGTTTTCTTCTTTCCAATCTGAGTACTTCTAGTCTCTTTTCTTGGTTGACTGTTAAGACTTGCCTTGCAGTGTTGCATAGCAGTGGTAAGTATGAACATTACTGTCTTTTTCCTAATTTTAGGGGAGAGCTCATAATCCTACCCATTGAGTATCTTGTTAGTAGTGGGTTCTAAAAGATGCTTTTTTTGTTTTAATATTATAACAAATGTAATGCCTTCTAGTGGTAATTGCTGTGTAAATATAAAACAGATGGGGAATGATCTTGTTGTGTTACTTGTGTTTCTATTGCTTGTTTGATTGTTTCTCCTAAGATAGACTGATTAATGGAGATGTTTCTAGGAGGATAACACTTAAGCAGAGGCCAAAGTAAAGTGAGGGGGCAGTCTGTACAATACCTGAGGAAAAAAAAAGGGAAGAAAACCGCAAAGCTGCTGTGACAGGAGTGAGTGGTACATAGGTGCAGAGAGACGCTATTGTGACTGAACCAGAGTGTTGAGGAGAGCCAGTTCAAGTGTGATGACATTAGAGTGCTTTTAGCAGATGGAAGAGGAATTTTAATTTATTTTTTAAATGATTACTCTGTCTGCTCTTTTAGTATGGATTGGGGAGAAAAATAAAGAAGGGACATAATTGGAAGTTAGATAATTAGTTGTTAAAAGGTTTATAGTGGTTCAGTTCAGGTGAGAGATGCTGATGGCTCAGATTGGAATGTAGTGGCACTGAGGGGTAATGAGAAGCATCACATTGGACATTAGCATTATGAAGGTAAAGCTGATAAAACTTCTGATGGCGTAAGTGATGAATTGATCATGACTTGCTTAATAGGGTGTGGAAGTGAAGATATGGATTGAATTGCCATTTTATCCTGTAGGTTTGCATATGTTTTGATTTTGACAGGATGTTTGTAGTCTTACCATTCCCCCCCCCCCCCTTTTATTGAAAAATACTTTCCATTGCTGGCAGGTTTCTGCTTTAAACAGTTTCCAGCTTTGGCAGGTTTTACTATAATAGAATGAACAAGGGATTTTAAATTAAATCTGATTTAAATCCCACACCCTCTGCCTATGATATGTGGCCTTATCAAATTCTTGAATCTTTCAGTTTTAGCTTCTTCTTGTTTAAAATGTTAATTCATACCCTTTATATGGTTTTTGTTTTTTAATTTTATCCAAAGAGAAAGAGACCTTCAATCAGATGCATTATATAGTGACTAACAGTTTATTTAGGTGTAGCAGAAAATGTGAGGATGGCACAGAATTGAGCATTTTCATTCCTCTGTACAGTCACTATAAGTTAGAGTTGACGGGATGACACTTAACAACAATAAAAATGGATAGGTGTTTAGTAATTGATAATTACTGCCAATAAGAATTTGAAAATTGGAGACAAAGAAAGGGGTTGAGTAGTTGGAAAATAAAGTCCTGGTGATAAAAATGACAATCTCAGCTGCATAATAGAATTTTATTGGCAATACCTTTTTCCAGCAATGTAAATGGTCATTATATATGTACCTTTATACAATGAAGGTTCAGCTATTTTGTACATAGCGTCACTATGAGTCATATGCTACTCAGTGGCACCTAGTAACAGCAATATATATATATATCTTCGCACATGGAATATGTAGGCACCTGATCCACTGCCCTGTGGGAAGAGATGATGGAAAAGCTCAACCTCGTCAATCAGAACAAGGCCACAGGTTGACTGTGGAACAGAGCATCATTCTGAAATTGCAGAAATGAAAACAAATCCCTAAAAGACAAAGTCTGAGCTTTAGTGTTGTTATTAGATCCCGATTAGTCAAGTATGATCCATAGCGATCCTTTGAACAACAGCTCTGAACCCTGTCCATTCTCACATTTCCTGACACACTAGAGCCCATTACAAGCAGTCACTGTGTCATTCCACCTGGGGCAGAGGGTCTTCCTTTCCTTTGCCAACCATCTACCATTCCAAGCATGTTGTCCCTCTCCAAGGAATAGCCTCTGATAGCTACATGCCTGAAGTATGTGAGGCGAAGCTTTATCCACTTTGCCTCCAAGAAACACTCTGGCTGCACATTCTCCAAGAGCTTTAGTGTGTCTGTCTGTCTGTCTGTCTGTCTGTCTGTCTGTCTGTCTCTCTCTCTCTCTCTCTCTCTCTCTCACACACACACACACACACACTCTCACACACTCTCACACACTCTCTCTCTCTCTCTCTCCCATCTGAAGAATATATTTGACTCTTTGACCACTAAAGATCAGAGGAGTTGTAGGATGGCATCAAGGAAGACAGATGAAGATAGCAAAAGGGTATTAGAAACATGGGAAGGAAAGAAAAGTCCAAAATTAGTATCAGAAGAAACTTAGAAACTTGTTCTTAAAAGTGGAGTAGCCCATTTTACATAAGGAACCAAGGGGTAAGGGGAGGGTGGAAGCAGAGGGATGAGGATGTGCAGAGGGACGGAGGATTAATCATGAAGTTGTACAATTTGATGGCTGGGGAGGGTAAGGAAACTTGGAATAATCTGTTTTGGAAAACTGTAAATTGTTTTGAATTTTGTAAAGAAACTAGTATAATAAAAAGTAAAGTAACTGAAGCAAGGGGACATTGCAAACTTTAAAGTTAGGAAATATGTTGTCAAGGTTGTAGCTTTTTACCATATTTATATAGTAGGTATACTGGGCAAACAATATGAGAAATTAGATTATGAGGAAGAACGTGACATCAGGATTGAAGGAAAATTCATTAGCAGTATGTAATTTATAAATGAACAACTTAGCCTACTGAAAAGAAAAAAAACTTGAAGCACTTGGTGATGAAGCTCAAAGTGTATGGACTTCAGTACAGATTACACTCCAACGTGAGAGAAAACAACTCCTCACAATATAAATACTGAAACAAATAGCATTATGATAAACAGAAAAATGCAATAATTGACTTTGTCAAGAATTTCACTTTACTTGGATCAACTGATATCCATAGAAGAAATGGGGGGAGTCTTGCATTGGGCAAATCTGCCACCCCAAAAAATAATAATTTGCGTTAACAAAGAGGGTTGTCACTTTGAGGGCTAAGTTGTGCCTGACAGAAGCCATGCTGTTTTCAGTCACCTCATTTGTGCAAATGCTGGACAAATATAAGACTGAAAAAAAGTGATACCTTTGAATTATGTTGTTGATGAAGATTATCGAATGTATTGTGGACTACAAGAATAATGTTCACATCTATCTTGAAAGATAATATAGTTATAAACCCCTTAGATGCGAGTATTATGAAACTTTGCATTTGACATACTTTGGACATGTGATCATGTGGGACCAGCACCCTGGAGAAAGGCATCATACTTGTGAGTTAGGGAGGAGTGCACTCTTTAATCATTCAAGTTCAAGAAGATAACATTTATCTGATAACAAAGCTCTGAAGACAGGAAGTGATGGGAAAGAAGGATGGATGGAAAATGGGGCACAGAGCAAAGTGGACAGAGTGCTATTACCCTGTGGCACCTGGAATTGTCATCCGGGAAATACAGTGCCTATGGATTGTTGTGTTGTATGGGAACAAACCAATTTGTTCTCTAAGCTTTTTCACTTGCACCACAATAAAAAGTTATTAATAAAAATAAAAGGGCCGTTGATCCACTGTTAGAACCACTGTATGATGTTCACTTCTTTCTTTTAGATTATATTGACCAGTCTGATGGGATCAAAAAATTCACAATTGATAGTATTTTGTGCTTAGTACTGTATAGTATTTGTTGTAAGATTATTTGATTCAGAAGGTACATTGAGTTTCTAAAAGATGTAACTCAACAATTTGTAAAGTGGATTTTTGGATTTGAGAAAACTGTTAATGTGAATTACTGACTTTCAGTGTCTCAATGCATTTAGTAGAATTATTTAGGAAATGCTAAAAATTTATTTCTTTTAAAAACTGTCTTTGCCACTGAGTTGAAACTGAGTCACAGCTGACTCTCTTTTGGTTTTCCAAGACCGTAAATCCTACTCAAGGAAATTACCCATCTTTCTCCTGTACAGCTGCTGGTGGAATCGAACTGCCAGTGCGTTTGAGCTACCAGAGAGGTCATGTCTTTGGGTTAGCAGTGCAGCTGCCTGCGGATTGTGCCACCAGAGTTCTGTAGTACATTAACGTCCCAGTTATCTTATAAATATATAACATAGAAAAGAGAGGAACTTTGATAAAAAGATTATCTAAAATATTGTTTCAAAGGTCTTATTTATTTGTTAATCGTATTTACAATTAAGTCTGTTAAAAATGCATTTATCTTTAGATTATTTGCCATTAAGCAGACTTATGTGTGTGTGTTTTGCCTTTTCTCTTTTTCTAGGTGAAGCTTTACTTCACAAAAACAGTAGAGGAGCCTTCAAATCCAGAGGCTAGCAGTTCAACTTCTGTAACTCCAGATGTTAGTGACAATGAACCTGATCATTATAGATACTCTGACACCACTGACTCTGATCCAGAGAATGAACCTTTTGATGAAGATCAGCATACACAAATTACAAAAGTCTGATTTTTTTTTTATCAAGAGGGAATAAAACACCATAAAAAAACTTGAATAAACTGAAAATGGACCTTTTTTTTTTTTTGAAATGGCAATAGGACATTGTGTCAGATTATAGGAACAATTCTCTTTTCCTGACCAATTTTGTTTTACCCTATACATCCACAGGGTTTTGACACTTGTTGTCCAGTTGAAAAAAAAAAAAAAAGATTGTGTAGCTATGTCATGTATATACCTTTTTGTGTCAAAAGGACATTTAAAAATTCAATTAGGATAAATAAAGATGGCACTTTCCCATTTTATTCCAGTTTTATAAAAAGTGGAGACAGACTGATGTGTATACGTAGGAATTTTTTCCTTTTGTGTTCTGTCACCAACTGAAGTGGCTCAAGAACTCTTTGTGATACACAGGTTCACATCCTACCCCTTTGCACTTGTGGCAACAGATAAGTTTGCAGTTGGCTAAGAGATGTTTTAAAGGTTTTGCTACATTCTAATGCATGTATTTGGGTTAGGGGAATGGAAGGAAAACTCAGAAAGGAATATATTTTCAGCTGGACTCTGGACCATATACCATCTCCAGCTAGTCACATGCACCTTTCTTTAGCATGCTACAGTTGTTAATCCGGACGTATGAGGAATTGGCTGCTGTCACTGCTTGTTGTTTGTGCATTTTACTTTTTTTTTTAAAGCATATTGGTGCTAGAAAAGGCAGCTAGAGGGAATGACTATGTATTGGGGTACAGGAATGAATGAACCTTTTGCAACATCTTAAGAATCCACAAATTAGGGGATATAAAAATTATGTGATAATAGATGAGAAACACAGCAACAATGACTTAACCATATAAATGTGGAGGCTATCAACAAGGAATGGGCTTGAAACATTATAAAAATTGACAATGATTTATTAAATATATTTTCTCAATTGTAATGACTGCTCCATCTCCTGTGTAATCAAGGCCAGTGCTAAAAGTCAGATGCTATTAGTACCTACATCAGTCAACAACTTACACTTATTAGTTTTCAATCATATACCTGCTGTGGATGCTTCATGTGCTGCCTGCAAGCTTCTTTGTTCTCATTAAATATAAACTATTTTATAATGCTGCACAGGAAATTTCAATTTGAGATTCTACAGTAAGCATTTTTTTCCTTTAAAGATTTATGATGCACTTATTCAATCCAGTAGCTGTCAGCCGTTCCACCCTTTTGACCTTACACATTCTATTACAATGAGTTTTGCAGTTTTGCACATTTTTTAAAATGTCATTAACTGTTAGGGAATTTTACTTGAATACTGAATGCTTAATACATATGATGTTTATATTTTAAAAAAGGACATTATTTGTGCTAAAAAGGAAATTACAATTACGGTAAATTTTCAACACTGCACAAATAATAAGGCATTTACTTTTCAGTAGAAATGTCCCAGATGGCTTTATCGATTTGCTATTGAAAGAATAGACTTTTTTACGTGCAGTGTTGAATCATTTCCTCATAGTGCTAGTGTTGGGACTAGGGCTTTAATTTCACTATTTAAATATCATATATTTGATATGCCCAGACTGCATATGATTTTAAGCAGAATATACAACTACTATTGTAAAGCTAATGTGAAGATACTGTTAAAAATTTTTTCTCCCCCACAGGATTTTGATGTCTTTGAAATTATACCAGGACATGTTTGCATATTTAGCCATTATATCTTTTAATGATATAAAATCCCATTTTCAATAACTTCTTGGTGCTGAAATTGTTCACTAGCTGTGGTCTGACCTAGTTCATTTACAAACACAGATTACTAATGTAGGACCTACTAGAGCCACATTTATGAAGTTGGATGGTAAATAGATTAGGCAGAATTTAATCAAAAATCTTCTTAATAATTATGGTTGACATGATTTCCATACCTCATCCATTTCATTCAACAAATTTTTAAATTTTTAACAAAGCTCTTAGGATTTACACATTTCTATTTAAATGTTGATATATGATTGCTCATAAGTTAAACTGGTAGAAAACCATCTATTCCTAAGATCTGATCATTGAAATTTATATGCCATCTTTCATAAAAACAGAAAACCGTTGACTAAAATGAAAATCAACTATTCATGTTTTGAAAATAGTCCTTAATCCTGTTCTTTGTTCCAGTTTTGGGCACAGTATATTAAAACATGTACTGTTCAAATATGTAACATGGAGGGCCAGGACGTAAATAATGACATTATAATGGGCTTTTGCACTGTTATTATTTTTCCTTTGGAATGTGAAGGTCTGAATGAGGGTTTTGATTTTGAATGTTTCAATGTTTTTGAGAAGCCTTGCTTACATTTTATGGTGTAGTCATTGGAAATGGAAAAATGGCATTATATATATTATATATAAATATATATTATACATACTCTCCTATACTTTATTTCAGTTACCATCCCCATAGAATTTGACAAGAATTGCTATGACTGAAAGATTTTCAAGTCCTAATTAAAATTTATTTATGACAGTATTCATAATTAGCCTAAATTGCATTCTGTAGGTAATCTGAGTTTCTGGAATGTTTTCTTAGACTTTTTGGATGTGCAGCCGCTTACGTGTCTGAAGTGACTTGAAGGCATCACTTTAAAGAAAGCTTACTGTTGGGCCCTGTACCATCCTAAGTCCTCTGGAGCTCCTCTGGAACTTTTTTGCCATAGTTATTAAGGGGTAGTTGAATAAATAGCATCACCATTCTTTGCTGTGGCACAGGTTTATAAACTTAAGTGGAGTTTACCGGCAGCATCAAATGTTTCAGCTTTAAAAAAAAATAAAAGTAGGGTACAAGTTACATGTTTAGTTCTAGAAATTTGTGCAATATGTTCATAACGATGGCTGTGGTTGCCACAAAGTGCCTCGTTTACCTTTAAATACTGTTAATGTGTCATGCATGCAGATGGAAGGGGTGGAACTGTGCACTAAAGTGGGGGCTTTAACTGCAGTGTTTGGCAGAGTTGCCTTCTACCCTGCCAGTTCAAAAATGCAATCTGTTTTCATATAGAATATATATATACTACAAAATTTGAGTCTGTTAAACAGCCTTACTCTGATTCAGCCTCTTCAGATACTCTTGTGCTGTGCAGCAGTGGCTCTGTGTGTAAATGCTATGCACTGAGGATACCCAAACACCAACAATATGACGTGTACAGGTTAATGCCTCATACCAATCAGATGTCCATTTGTTAATTGTGTTTGTTAACAACCCTTTATCTCTTAGTGTTATAAACTCCACTTAAAACTGATTAAAGTCTCATTCTTGTCATTGTGTGGGTGTTTTATTAAATGAGAATATAGTTTAAATGGCTTCAATTAATTGGGATTGTAAATGGCAGCCAAATGTGATGAAGGGTTTCTAAATTTGTTTTTTTCCTGCTGTCTTTCAAAGCCTACATGGACTTTGTCACTTTGGGAGTAGAGAATCAGTTCTACTCATAGCTAAGTGAAACACATTTTTAGCACTTTAGTTGACATTTAACAATTGTGTCTAGCACATTAATTACTTTCTAAAGCCCTAAAGAGCTAAAGATTCTTGAAAAACTGAATAGTTGTCAGACAAAAGTGTGAATATTCTTCTCACCCCACAAAAAAGGTTCGGTACTTAAGATTTCTGTCTTACTGCCTTTTCCTTATACTCTGCCATCAACATATGGGAAGCTTCATCTATTCATTACGACTGTGCCATACAGGAATTGCTGTTGGAAAATAGTCTAAAGGACTTTGTACACTTGAGTTTAACTTTCTTTTCTAATATTACCAAAAGTGTAATTGAAAGGGAGTAAAAGTGTAACTTGTACAATTGTTTTCAAAACAAAGACCATTTACATAAAAGTGAAATTTAAGATTTCAAGTTTACGTTTTTTCCATATGAGTAGAAAGTCAATGTGAGTAATGTACAGAAAAGAAAATAAGACGTGTGTGCACAAGTGCGTATGTGTGTGTGCTTTTCCCCAGACATTTTAGGTGTAAGGCTGAAAATGATACTAGAATCCAAATTTATTTTGATTTATAAGGTAATTTGGTAATGTCTAAAAAGATAGGGATTTACTGCCAATTTTGTTTTTTATCTCATGTTCTCATCACACTAATTAGAACTGGCTTGTTTCATTGAATGCCATCACCATTTCCATTGAAAATTTAAAAATCACCAGTGTTTGACGTGCAGGCTTCCAGAGGCTTTCAAAAAATCAAGACCCTTAAGTCTAGTTAATTTGTTGCTGACAATAAAGCTCTTGGTTCTTATAATTTTGCCAGGTAATTAACCACATATCTAAAAGTTAAATGGCTTAAGTAATGGGAACAAAAATATTCAGTTCAGATTGGTGTAATAAGGACAGTAGACACCAGCAAACAAGGCCATGGAGGAAAATGTTCTAAAACTTAAAGGTGAGATGTTAGGCACTCTCATTCTTAATTATATAATGATAACCTAAAGATTAAGTTGCTGTTTTAGAGAAAATCTCTCATGTCCATTTTCCATCTCACAAGGTTTTCCTGTTTGTAACTATAATATGAATGTGGGTAGGTCACTGGACAAATTTCTATTGGTTGGTAGCTTTAAGAGTTTGGGTTAGGAAGACAGGAAAGGACAAAGTAGTCTTATTGATGGTAGTGATTTTTTTTTTTCTTAAATTAGCGGTTTCAAAAACCTTTACCATAACAAAATGCTCAGTCATAATCCCCCCACCTGGAGACATAGCCATTAATATGTTAGTGACTGTACAATCATTTTTGCCTGTATATTTGTGTATATTTATAAAATGAAATTTTATACTGTATGCTTAAAGACATTTAGTTCTTTTCATTATGGATTTTAGAAAGCTTAGTTACATGAGAAAATGAACAGGGAATCCATCGTTAACATTGCAGATAACGGATTATATACAAGTTTTGAGGGTCCTTTCCAATTTAGTTGGTTAATCATAAACGAAATACTGTTGCTATCATGATATGTATGTCTAAGGAATAAACTAGTTCACTAACAAAGGAAAACGTAACATTGTAGATCTTTGTCTTTAGAAACCATTTTAAACTTTTATATTTTCAGTAAGGCAAACAAAATATTAAGAGAAATTCAATTTCATCATCACCTTTCCATTTCTCTTATAAGTTGGAAATAGGTGAGCTTTTCCGTTTTTGTATTTCCCAAATGGTTGCTCAATTTAGCGTGAATGTTTACTGGGAGAAAATGTTTAATTCTTGCATAAGAAAAGCTACCATTTTTATCACTTAGCTGTCTTTAAATCTGGGTGCTCTTGTGACTTCCATCACA